TCAAGTTTGGACTCGACAGCGGTGCTGCGCAGCTCGAGCGCGTCAATACGCGCTTCAAGAGCATTAATACGAGAGGCAGTGTTGTCACTCGCAAGTGGGGCAGTGATGGGATTGGCAGGACGAGCGGGTCGGGGCTGAGAGGCAGCACGGGGAACATTCTGACGTGAGTCAGCACGTGGCGGTTTAGAAGCAGAACGGACGGCACGGACAGAAGTAGGCTCGTGCTTCTGAATGAGCACGCGAAGATTCTTCAAATGAAGAAAGTGACACTTCGGCTCAACATCGGTAGACACCAACCAGTGCGATTGGCCGTTGACAAACCAATGCTGAAGAGGAATAACAGCCCAACCAGTTTTATCACCATGTTTCCAGGATGCGAAGTTGGTGATGACATCAGAACGCGAGCAACCCGGGGGCAAGCCAATGATCTCGTACTGGAATCGGCCCCGAACCTGTAGATTAGAAGATTGAAAGCGAGAATCATCAGGAGAAACGAGTTTCCTGACAGTAGCAAGAGCCTCGACAGGGACGCGCACGCCGAAAGATTGCTGAGAAAGCGCTAATCCAAGGTGTGAGTCAACCTGCTTAATCAAGAGGGTGGCATCAGCAAAGGAGCGTTTGCCAAGCCACACCACGGTGGAAACCGCATCACGCGCTTGTTTAGATGATGTGTCACGGCAGACTTCTTGCACAATGAAGTTAAGACGCAGACCCGAAGCGCACAGAATCAGGGTTTTGTGCTTGGTGGGGGCACGAAAGAACACGCGATGAGTAGATTTGTCGAAACGAGTCCAACCATAGAAATCAACGCAGGACGAATTGAGATCACTATGGAGAGCAAAAACCTGAGAAGGCACTGATTTACGACAGGTAGAGACAAAGGAGCTCCAATCCTCAGGCGATGCAAAGAGACGCTGCGACAAGGTAGCAGAAAGCTCAACGGTGTCGGAGACGATCCACTCGGGCGAGCTGTCAAGTGCAGTGGGAAAAGCGGACACAGCACCAAGTTGAATAATGGTCGTGAGCTTACGCGACCACTTATCAAGCACTGGATCTTTGATAAACATGTAATGCACGGCATAACTGGACTCAGCAAAGCCAAGAGAGGACAGCTCATCATTGCGGCCGCCAGGCAACACCGCCACAAGAGGTTTTGAACTCCGGATACGACAAAGGTTCGAAAACATGGGACGTGAAAGCAGAATGACACCTGTCGAATTCTCAGCGAGGGTGTCAGGCGTGAGTTTGACAAGTCGATCCTGAAACTGAGTCAAGTCGATTTCACAATCAATCCACAAAGATCTCGCAGGGGCACTGACGGATTTGGAATTGTTCGCAGTAGGGCCGTGGCGCTTCTTTTCGAGATAAGACGCCCAGGGGTCAATGGTGCCAGAGGGTCCTGGGTGGCTTGCTTCGCCAACACGACTGGCCAACAATCCAATACGATGTGCAATGCTTCTGCCAAGCAAAACGACATGAATAAGCAAGCGGGCAGATGCAGCGGAAACGAAAGATAGAGAGAGAGGGCTCCCCAAGATCGCCTGCGGAACCATGGCAGCACCGAAAGGCAAGGAAGACAGCATGGAGCAGCACTGACCACAGCAAGCCAAGAGAGGAAAGCTGTGCAGAAGAAGAAGGGTGCCAAAGCACAGCAACCATGAGGTGCACCGGAATCTCGAAGGGCGGCACCGAGGGGAGCGCGGGAGGCGAAAACGACGACGACCAATGCGCCGGCAAGGAAAAGCGCGACGTCGACGACGTGCAGGGACACAGAGCAACAAAGTGGGCAGCGCGAGCAAGAGACCAAGCATGCTGTGCAGTGAATGCCAAGTGCAGAGAGCAGCTTGCAGCATCAACTGAAACATGTAAGAAAGTCGTGTACCAAATCTCACAGTCTGGCTTGTTGTCATGAAGACATGCGTCACAAAAGCTAAGAGAAGCATGAATGTGGTGATGCGCTCACAAGCCCAAGGCATCTCAGTAGACAGCTGAGGCAGCAAACCTGAGTCGCCTGCGCTCAGCCCCCGGGTCCCACACGACCGTAGGGACTCGCCAGCCAAAGTAGATGGTCCGTCCCCAAACTCCAGGTCCAAAGCCTCTGTCTGAGCCCATGAACTGTTGAGGGGTACGTTTTTCCCCTGCACCATGGGCCGAGCTCCTCCTGCATCTACTTCCGCACTGGCTTATTGGCCGGTGGCCGCCACAGCCTTGGGCCGCAAAACTCCAAGCACGAATGCCCAGGACCTGTGAGGTCGAAGAGGACTCGGACCTTTTCATGCGCGAGGATGAGGCTTTCACGTTTTGCAAGGAGGCTTGGCCTGCTTGAGGAAGCCAGGGCCAGCACAGCCTCCATAACTGAGAGCTGATAACCCCGGCTCCCATTCTGCGTCGTCTGCCCAGATCACAACCTTTGTCCCACCTTGACCTTGCCTTGCTCTGGGGTTGCAGCGGTGCCCTCAGGCTTGTCAAGGCTCTGCTGACCACGTCTGCATAGCTCTGCAGCGCCGAGATGCCTCGCTTCCACGACATTTTAAGGCTGTTGCCGCCACAGCTCAGATTACGGGGGTTCGTTTTCGCAAGAGGAGCTCCGGCAGAGCTCCCGGTTCTTGTTGTAAGCAGGAAAGCTTACGGGTGCGTAGAACTCGGAGGCTTGTATGAAGCAAGAAAGCTCACGGGTGTGTAGGACTCGGAGCAGCCACATGGTTGTAGATGCATCGCTGGCACATCCAGGGTGAAGCTCGTCTTCTTGGCAGCCTCGGGGGAGGCGGTCAGCCTTGGCTAAATCGTTTGGAAGCGCGGCAGTTCCCCATGCTGTGCTCGCGGATGGTGCTCGGCATCTCCTCTGCCAGCTGATTTGTGGAAGTGGGTCGCAAGACTCAAAAGCTGAAGCTGCTGCAGACGACCACGGGTCGTTCGGCCACTTTGACATCACTGCTGCTCTCACTCTCCATCTGAGCACTGACAGATTGGTGACTTGCAGCAAGAAAAATTTCAATCCTGCTGTTAGTAGTACTACACTACTTGCCATGCGCAGCAGAGCTTTTCTTGCATCACGAGTCTTCCTGCTACGGACCACGGCGTCGTATGTAGCACTGGTTATCGTGCCGTCTGGTGTGGCACACGGCATACGGTCAGAAAGAAGCATTGGCATAGTGCATTCTCGCATGTCACAACTTCTTGGCTCGAGCTCACGGACGCCTCTGCCATCCCCTTGCTAGAAGGTGGGAAGCAAGGAAGCAGCTTTCGGGGTTGGAGCCCAGGGCTCTAGAGCTTCTTGCTTTCAGCTTCCCGGGTTTGGGGGTATCCTCCCCAGTCCAAAACTCAGTTAAAACTAAACGATAATATTTGTAAGAGCTGCGTGCAGGTTGTGTGTAGTATGTACTGGTAGTTAGTAGTATTGAATGAGGTCTGCTAGAAGCCTCCAGGTGTTTCGGCGTCGGGTCTTTCAAAAAGGAAAGCTGGCAGAAACCGGCTTGCATACCAGAATGCAAGCTACAGCAGAGAGTCATACAGTAGATAGACAAGTGTAGTGAGTCATCGTGTGGAGTAGATCGCTCAGGGTTTTTTGCTAGAGTATACCATGACGCTGACTTGGAATGATCGAATCTAATTTTGCACGGGTAACTGCCGCATATTTTGCTTGCAGTTTTCTCTGTCGTGCTCACCACAGTTTACTCCCCCCACTGTTGTTACGACTTTAGACAACGGATACAACTAGACTTGTAACAAACTTAGGACGAAGCCGGCTGCAGTTGCTTTGGACTAATTTGGCACAGGTTGACGGGATCAGAAAAGCAGTGTACATGATTGACAGAAACCCTTTGCGCGAGGCTGGTTTGCTCCTTCTACTGCTGCTGTCGTTGTCCCAGCTTCACGGTATAGACGGAGTTGAGTAGCAAACATGTCTGCTTGCGGAATTAGTTGTATTGACTGTTCTCGTCGCAGCCTGCACCATGCTCTCATGGCTGGTGTGCACAGGAAAAGGCTGCAACATGCGTGATACCGCAAGCAGACAGCCGAATCGCAAACGGGTGTGCAAAATTCCAGTTCAAGTGAAGCGCGCATGTAGCTGTCAGCGTCAGTCTCTTGAGCTTCTCACTGTCGGGCTTGTGTGCCTGAAGCAGCGCATGTTAGTGGTAAAACACAAGATTGTCTTTTACTCTTGGCCGGCCAACGATGCCGGAACATTCCGCTTGGCACTCTGTTGTTGACGAGGCTACTGTTCTATCATTTCCATTGGTTTCCGCATTCAGCATTTCAATGCCTGTGAGTTGTGGCGTGTAAGTGTCCGACTCGAGCGCTGAATCCGCACGTTTTGTAAGCATGTCCGTCAGCATGCCCAATGCCTCTCAAGTTGGCAAGTAAAGGTTTTGTGTGAAGGATAATTATGGCAGGATCTCGTTGTGGAGGGTATCGGCTTGCCTTACGAGCTACATCTTCTTATACTGGAACACGCGCAGCTTGTGTTGCAGGCTGTTGTGGCACAGTCCTAGCCGCACTGAATGGTTATGTGACAGTTATGTGGCAAACGATGTTCAACGGCGGTTAGCCCTGCAATTTGCCGACGCCCATGGGATGACTACGGAATGGGGGACAGCAGCAGCCTCAAATGCAGGGATTTCCAGTGTTGCTTCGGCGTCTCGATCGTGCTAGGCGAGAAAGTCCACAACGTGCACGAGGTGGTGATAGACTGTCCTGAACTTGCACCCTGTGCTCTCACCATCGGAAGGAAGAGACCGCGATTGCCGAATTTGCGCGGCAATGCTCGGAGCTCAAGGAATGAGACGTGCCATTTTCACGTCTATATGTATCAATAGTATTACTCGCAAGAAGAGCCCAAATTTGTCAGGTGCACAGACGTGGCCGGATCTACTGTGCACCTCGGCAGCCATACTCGTATCTCTTATCTCGCTTTTGCTTCTTTCGAAAGCCTTGGAAGTGAGGCCGCGGCAAGCCGCAGGAGGTGTTTTTACCGTAGTGCAAGATGCGAGGTTTGGTCAATGCCCCTGCGCACGTTGCCTGCCCTGGAGGTGGCTGCCATCAGCGAGACAGCTGCAGTCAGCGAGGTTATCGGGTTATCGATGCTAGCAATGTCAGCGCTGCCCCCATCATTCCGCTGGAAGGCCGATGCCCACACCATCAAGGTGGACGTTTTGCGAACTCGAGGCCTTGCAGCGCTCCCATTCTGCATGAGAAACCTTTCGGTTTCCCCTCGTGGCCTTGCTGCAGGTGCGCATCCAGCGTTTTCTACCCCGGAGATGCGGGGAAGATTGCAGGCAGCAAACCATACCAGCCATGTGCCACCGGGATTATTGAAACATAGCTGATAAGCTTCCAGCACAAGCGGCAAGCGTGCAGTGTGCCTCGGACTGCCCATGACTGGCCCTGCCTTAACTTTATTTAACTGCCTCAATGCGAGCACATGGCACAACACCCGCAAGAACCTCCCAGCTCTCCATCACGATGTGCTCAATTCATGTGCTTGCAGCGCTCGCCTTGTGCCGGCGGCTTCTCGAAACCAAGCCCGAGCATGCTAGGCCTTATAATAGGCCTCTCCAGGTTGTGCTTCTTTGCAGGACTTGCTCACAGAGTTTTGCATTGCGGAGGGCGTGCGGTACATGCAGGCCGGGGACAGCAGATGTGTGTTTCCTGAGTGCAGGTTCAAGACTTGCGAGACACTGCATCGTCTTAAGAGGCATGTGCACGGCGTCGGTAGCTGAAACGCCCGTTGCATGCCCCCTGCAAGTTCCTATAATATCCTATAAGCTGGACAAGCATTCCGCGATCAAAACAGTATCCGATGAAAGAGAGCACGGCATCGACATTGCACGATCAGGGCCTGCACGAGGTTGCCGCCGTGTTCGCATACATCGAGGCAGTCCGCAGTCCGGGTCTGCGAACAATGTGGAATTGATGCTCCCAGCTTGCGAGGCTGCAGCCGGCGGTTTTCAAAGCAACTTGTCAGAAAAGTTCGGCAAAAAACCCGGAAGTGACCACAGTGTCGGGGCAGTTCCGGCGTTCGCATCCTGCTCTGGCAGGTGGCAAGCCACAGTGCCCGACGACCTTGGAATGCTTCAAGATGTTCACCCGGAACTTCATGCCGTGTTTCTATGACGGGGAAGGTTTCGTGATCCTGCACATCACGCTGCTGTTTTTCCGTCAGCTTTTGCTGTCCGCGTCCCGGGCGATTCGGAATACGTGGTACGTGGTACATGTGTCACTGAGTCTTCTTGCTACATCGCCCGTGCTAAGGTATCATCTTCCGCACTTGCACAATCAGCTGGAAGAAGCTGGGGTTGCTCCCGTAGTGTATGCCACTTGGCTGTCACTTCGCTTGTTAAATTCGGGCGGGTAGTGGAACCACGTCATGCTAAGAAGGACGGTAAAGCTGCAGGAAGCCAGTGTGATAATGCTGTGAAGTCACATGATGTGGCTGTTTATTGATGAATTTGTTCTGGCTTGTGATGAGTGCCACTGATATGGTATATTAATTTGGAAGGTCTCTCCGAGGCTGGCTACTGGTAGTGTCTTTCGCTTTTGACATCCTTACCAGAAGCATCGGGACAGTTTGGGACCAAGCTTTGTATCTCTCCGGAGATCTTCGGAAAATGTTGACGGCGCTCTTCCAACTTACCGGATCGCGAGCCTTTTCGTCTGGAAATGCCGGTACTCTTAGCTAGACAGTTTGTTCCCAATGATGCATTCAATGCTGTCAGGCCACACCATGGTTCATCACATTGTTTGCCTACAAGACGCCGCTGCAAGTCTTGCTCAGGCCCACCACGTTCTGGGAAAGTGAGGTCTGCGAATGATAACATGCTTGCCTGCATGATCTCAGGCTTTGGCATCGCTACATACATCGAGGGGATCCTACTTTTGTGCCTTTTCTTGCGGTCGCTGTAATGGAGCTTGAAAAGCAAGCCTTCCTTGATGCGGAGGCCCTGAAGCCCGGGCTGTGCCAGTTTCTGGTGTTGCGTCCGGTGTTGACTCCCCTGCGAAGACGATTCAAGACGTCAGGAGGATGATCTGAATTTTGCCGTGGACCGCACCACCATAACTTCGGTGGAGAAGCTGCAGGACGTGTGGGCTGCAGCAGAAAGCTTGCACGTCCGGGGCTCTTCTCCGCCGCTGCTGCCCTTGTGTCATCAGGCGCAGCTTGTGTGACCAGCTGAGGCAAAGACGCCCAAGTCATTCTCGTTTAGAATGTCCCGCGTCATTGCGCAGGTGGGCTTGCAGAGGTGGTAAGGTCCGGCAAGGTATGAGCAGACAGAAGTTGCAGATGACGGGAGGTCCGGGAGCAACTTCGCAAGAAAGGCTCCGGCCATCCGTGGGCCGACAGTGTTTTGGCTCGTGCGGAGCAGGTGGACCTGCTCCTTCGCAAGCATGCTTTGAATTGCCGGTGGTAGTCACGATAATGACGGTCATCCTTGTTGTGATGAAAGATGATGACGATGAGGATGATGCTTGTGATTCTTGTGCTATATCCTGAAGTTGGTACTGGAGTAGTGAGACGTGTTTGTGGTGGCGGCTTGCTGGATTGTGTGCGTTGTTGGTCGTGGTCCTCGTCTACGCCCGGTAAATCCGGATATCAAATTTGGCCAAAGACCACGACTCCTCCGTGTAGTCTGTGTTGCAAGCTGTCCCAGGAGGGATCACATCTCGGTTCCACGTTTGACGGGGAAGGAACTAGCAACTGGCATGTCACGCGTGAGCAAGCTGATAAAAGCCGATGGAAAGGCTTTAGAGAAATCGTAGAAAAAGGAGAAAACGCACGGGACTGAGGAATGTGCGCAAGAGGAGCAAACCCATCGAAACGGAGTTGTCGCATTCTCTTTCTTTCAAACTTTTGGTGTAGTATTCTCTTTCTTTCAAACTTTTGGTGTAGTATTCCTTGTTTGATGTTTGCTTTCTGACTCGCTGTCTCGAGTGCTATAGTGAAGTGCGACTGCAGGAGGTCCATGGTAGGCTGACCTTTTCAAGAGCTCGCATGGAAAAGTCTTCCGATCCAATCAACCAATTCAAAGCAAAAGTGGGTTCAGCTACGTAGCGCTACGACCACGTGACAAACATATACATGCATGTATGTGTGTATATTTACACACGCATATATACATATGTGCGTAGGACCTCTCTGCGCTATTTGAGTAACTGCTTCTTCTAGTATGAGCAGTTAAAGGGCAGGCTCTGTGGGCAGTGTGAGTTTGGTCTCTGGGGGTCTGGAATTCTTTTTAAATTTTTAAAACTGTTGAAATTTTTGAAATTTTTAAAATTTTTAAAAATTTGGCCTTTGGGGGTCTGGAATTCTTTTTAAATTTTTAAAATTTTTAAAATTTTTGAAATTTTTAAAATTTTTAAAAATTTGGCCTTTGGGGGTCTGGAATTCTTTTTAAATTTTTAAAATTTTTAAAATTTTTGAAATCTTTAAAATTTTTAAAAATTTGGCCTTTGGGGGTCTGGAATTCTTTTTAAATTGTTAAAATTTTTAAAATTTTTGAAATTTTTAAAATTTTTAAAAATTTGGCCTTTGGGTATCTGGAATTCTTTTTAAATTTTTAAAATTTTGAAAATTTTTAAAATTTTTGAAATTTTTAAAATTTTTAAAAATTTGGCCTTTGGGGGTCTGGAATTCTTTTTAAATTGTTAAAATTTTTAAAAATTTTGAAATTTTTAAAATTTTTAAAAATTTGGCCTTTGGGTATCTGGAATTCTTTTTAAATTTTTAAAATTTTGAAAATTTTTAAAATTTTTGAAATTTTTAAAATTTTTAAAAATTTGGCCTTTGGGGGTCTGGAATTCTTTTTAAATTGTTAAAATTTTTAAAATTTTTGAAATTTTTAAAATTTGTAAAAATTTGGCCTTTGGGGGTCTGGAATTCTTTTAAATTTTTTAAATTTTTAAAATTTTTAAATTTTTTAAAAATTTGGCCTTTGGGGGTCTGGAATTCTTTTTAAATTTTTAAAATTTTTAAAATTTTTGAAAATTTTACAATTTTTAAAAATTTGGCCTTTGGGGGTCTGGAATTCTTTTTAAATTTTTAAAACTTTTAAAATTTTTAAAATTTTGAAATTTTTAAAATTTTAAAAATTTAAAAAGAATTCCAGACCCCCAAAGGCCAAATTTTTAAAAATTTTAAAAATTTCAAAAATTTTAAAAATTTTAAAAATTTAAAAAGAATTCCAGACCCCCAAAGGCCAAACTTTTAAAAATTTTAAAAATTTCAAAAATTTTAAAAATTTTAAAAATTTAAAAAGAATTCCAGACCCCCAAAGGCCAAATTTTTAAAAATTTTAAAAATTTCAAAAATTTCAAAAATTTTAAAAATTTTCAAAATTTTAAAAATTTAAAAAGAATTCCAGATACCCAAAGGCCAAATTTTTAAAAATTTTAAAAATTTCAAAAATTTTAAAAATTTTAACAATTTAAAAAGAATTCCAGACCCCCAAAGGCCAAATTTTTAAAAATTTTAAAAATTTCAAAAATTTTAAAAATTCTAAAAATTTAAAAAATTTAAAAAGAATTCCAGACCCCCAAAGGCCAAATTTTTCAAAATTTTAAAAATTTCAAAAATTCTAAAAATTTAAAAAATTTAAAAAGAATTCCAGATTCCCAGAGACCAAACTCACAGAGGTTTTGAAACGAGTTCCAGATCTCCAGAAAGCGTGCGTTCGCTCTTTTGCATTCACCTCATTATCGTTTAGCGCATGAAACAACAGGGAAACAATTCTGAGTGAAGGGTGAGATGAAGTGAATGAGTTCGTTCCTGATTTTCAAGGAACGAAGTGTCAGGGAGAAACAAGTGAACGAACGCATGAACGAAACACGGTCTCAACGAGTAACACGCCAGGAATTGGACCGTTGACTGCAAAAGCCCTGATTACAAAAAGTAAGCATGCGCGAGTTGATCTTTCATTGACTAAATCTGGCTCTTTTGCGTCTGTCTTCATTCATATAAACTTAGAAGATACCACTATAGATTACCTATAAAGATGCCATTAGATTCCAGTTGTACTTCCAGCATTATAAACTCATTTTAGTGTAAGGTGGGAAGTGAAGGGAACCAAAATACCCATTTTAGTGTAAGGTGGGAAGTGAAGGGAACCAAAATACCCATGCTAAACTAACGAAATGAAGAGAATGTAAGGAACGCACGTTTTCCTCTGTTTCAGTACATGAGAGTTTGATTCGTTTGTCTCGTTCACCCCGTGGTGCGTTTCACGATGAACGAAGCACGCTTTCTCTTATGCTACATTGTCTTCGTTCACTTTAAACTACACCACCTTTGATTACAGGAAAGCCAGTCAATGTAGGATGTGGAGCGAAGCGAACCCCAAAAGGACAAACTAGTGTAATGCAAGGAACAGAATGGTAAAGGATGCGCGCCTTTTGCTTCGTTTCATTATGCTAGTTTGGTTCTTGTTGGTGTTTTCTTGCAACTTTTCCCTTTACAATGAAATGCACAACCCGAAAGAGCAAATGAAAACCAACACAACAAAAGGCGCGCTTACATTTCATTGCCATATTGTCGCATTAGGTTTAATTAAAGCTTGTGGGATCCATGCTTGGCAGTGAGCTTGGAAAAAGATGTGAGGAAAACGGAATGTTGGATGTACCGTGACTGGCGGTTAAACTCAGAGAATGACTCGCGAGTCCACGGTCAACCTTGTGCCTGATTACATTCGTAGCAAGGCCAAGCGAGATGATCAAAACATACACTTCGTTTGTGTTTCTTCATTCGCCTCACTTTGTTATTCTCTTATTATGATAAAATGGAGTGAAGAATGAACGGAACCCAAAAGAGCCAATGTAATTGAATTGAAGGTAACATAGAGAAACGAAGGCATGGTTTAATTCATTTAAAGCTGGGTTTTGTGGCTCTTGTTTCATTTCGTTGTCTGCAATTATGAAACGAAGTGCAAGCCGTGCGTCTCTTACGCTTCATTCATTTCGTTTCATATTAAAGCACAAAGGAAAAACAAGTATTGGATTCTTCAGTCTAATTATCTTCCCGGCTCTTCATTCTAATTATCTTTCCCTTTTCTGTTTTATGTGCTGGTAATGTAATCAAAGAGGAGACAGCATGAAGGTCATAAAAGGCAAAGTAGAAAGTGAAAATAATGAAGGTAAATGAGCAGAAATCAAAGCTAACATATTTTAGGCTTACATCCTTTTTCCTTTCCTACAACTACGATTGCTGTTTCCGTTCAGTTCCTGTTTTCGTTCCTTTTGTGCTTTGCTCATTCACGCTTCCATTCCTTTCGACGGTACTGACCCGAACAAGAAAGGAACGAAAGAAGGAACAGAATGAACGGTTAGACCAAGATATGACATGCAAGGGAGAGGAATAAGCGCACGGAACGCACGGTTCCTTTCACACCCTTCATGTCATTTCTTGCGAGAACAGAATGACCAGGAAACTAATGATAGGGTTATATCACAGGGAATTGAGGATGTTAATGGTGAAAGACTTCTTTCATCTAACTCGATCTCTTCATGAAATTTCCTATCTTGTGATGTGTCCTTTGTTGAGACTTGGTGGGCTTTCTTGAACTAAAGCGAAAACAAACCAAATCAAGGAAATGCCTGCTTTGCCAGCACCATGCATACAAGGGCTTCATCTGGATCATTCTTCTGTGTCATGAGTCGTGCATGTATGATGTTAGTTTTAATAAGCGAAAAGCATGCGTTCCTTCTGTCATTCATCCATGCACACCATTCACTTCTCATCTTTCACTCATCATCGGTTAACCCTTGATTTGTGGTTCGCCAGGGACAATAGGCTCATGAATCCCAATTTCTTATAAAGGGATTCTGATGGCACCTCCATGTCGGCTCATGTTTTCGTTTTCTTTGTGCTTCGCTTAATAGACATAAACCATGCATCAGTTCCTTCTTTATGTTTAAATTACGCAAAACAATGATGAACGAAACCGTGAGA